AAATGACTAAAACTGAATTTTGTAAAACACATTAATATATTACGCTTTCTCCAAAGCAGGGAAAAAACTCTTTATCCAGTGTATAACAGACAAAAATTTATAAACTAATAATTATTACCATAAAAAATTATCATGTTTTTATATTCCTTTGCATATTCTTTAACTAAACTAAATTTATTAATTTAAATTATATTTTGATTAGGTATTTGCATTGTAGCATTAAATTAAATTGTTATGTTACATTTTAACAGCTTAAGTTTGAAGCTGCTTCATCTAGAAGCATATAACTGACACTTGTAATTTTTAAAGCATTGCACTATATTGATATGTTTTTCACAGTTCTGTCTGTTTTGCAAGATGGTAAGTGTAGCTAGCTGTCATGTAATTGGGCATGGAATCAAATTTTGGACAAAGCACTGATGTTTCATAGTCACCTATTACCTCTCCCATGAATGCAAATGTAGCATTGGCCACACACATACCATGTGGTACACAGAGGGTAATAGCCTTGGTGATAAAATAGTTAAATGTTCTATGGATTCAAAATGAATGCTTAATGAGAAAGTGTTCAACCACAAGGGAAAAAAATATATAAGAACTCTAAATACTTTGAATATGCAGACCATAACACTGCTTATCGATTGTTACCAAATTAATGCTCCTGCAAAGATACTGCAGATCAAGAACTTTTGACAATAATCCATATGATTTTTTATTTATTTATTTATTTTATTATTATTATTTTTTAAGAACTTCAATTTTTACTGCACAGTTTTCAATTTGTCACACTTTTCATTTTCATTATTTAAATTAATACAAATAACAGAACATATACTTTGACTTTTAACTGAAGCTTTTAAATTCACATATTACTTCCTTGTAGGAAGTAAAAAGGAAGTATTGTAATCGCGAAAAGTTTCAGGCAGCATATTTCAACGAAAATATCCATTTTGACCGCTATCGAATGCAATTTAATGATTTTTTGGCATGATATCTGTACGTAAGAACAGAATAAAAGACTCGTTTCCTCCAAAAAAAAAATTTAAAACTGCCTTAAAATTAATTCTGAAGAGAATTTCTGTATGAACGTATGCACGTACGTATCTCGCATAACTCAAAAACGAGTAGCCTCAGAACGCTGAAATTTTGTATATAGGTATACAAAATTTCAAATACAAAATTACAAAATAAAAAAATACAAAATTTTTGTATGACTGCTATAACATGTAGATGTGCAACTCGTATTTTGGTTGCAATCGGCCACACCAAACGTATATAAATATATTTATATATATATCCACTCTGTTACACGGCTCAGTGATTTCAGTTTTTTTACTCTTATATGTTTGTAAATTGTACATTTTTTGCTTTAAAAATGATTGAATTATGTTGTTTTTATCTTCCAGTTAAGGTTTTTATGCCTTTAGTAAATCTGTATGCAATATTTTTAGAATTATTAACAATTTTAAAGTTGTTTAAGTGCCACTAAGCCTTTTTTTTTTTATGGCGGCCATTGTTTCTTTACATTTGAAACTGCAGACTAGTGGATTTGTTGCCAATCTAGACAAACTTAGCTTCGCAACATATGTTTACATATATATGTCATAATAAGAGCACAAGGAAAAGCTGGAACAGTGTCGATGCGATTTTAATTCCATTTTTAATTGCAATTGATATTTGTGGCTACAACCATTTGGCACGTTAGTCGTGCCTTTTTACAGAAGATTTACATTTTTTATATTGTTGAGATAGAAAGCAAGCCAGCGAAATTACATCTTAGCAAAGTAGAGAGCAAAGCTGAGGTGCGCAGTTATGCAAGATGGAAGTACACAAAGAGAAAAGTTTTGGTTTGCAATTTGGTGATTGGTCAAGAGGCATCTGCATTAACGGTTACGTAAGATCGCATGATTAATTTGAATGACGCAGTTTAGACTTAAGAACAATTTTTAGTACAGATAGAAGAAGTTCACAAATGAAATAGAAAATAAAAGAGGTTATAGTGAATCAAATTTAGAAGTTTGCTTTTATAATTTTTATCTTACACATTCCCCCTTTCAAAAAGAAAAAGGCGGAGCGATATAGAAGCCTTTTTGAGAGAAAATGCTTTTCCGGTAAGATATCTGTAAGAGAAATAAAGAATATGTAACAGGATTTAAATTAGCAACATAAATTAATTTCCCTTCTCTATTATAAAAATAGCAACATCTATTTACACTTCATCATTTCGAGAAAAATTTGTCATATGACTCTTATGCAATTCTGGTGAGGTAAATTGAACTAAAACTCAAGCAGCCAATAATAATGTTACAGCAATATTAACTATACAATCAAAATGCTTTGAAAACCAAAACTAACTCGGTTTGACTTAAGATTTCATCCTGAACATTACGCACTTGCTTTCTATGCTTTGCCTTAGTTTGACTGTAGTCTGTCTGCTCCTTCTTTTTCGCTGCAAATCTATCAAAAATGTCTTTTGCAACAGGCACATTTAATGTGCGGACTTGTGTGTAGCCGCAACATGTTGCTGAAAATAAAACTGAAGATTTAATCTGCCTTTGCCTCCAATTTCCTAATCATTATGGATTAGCACTTCTACGCCATCAAAATTCTTGCTCTTCAGTTACTTTGTTTTTATATATATATGTGTGTAAAATATAAAAAAAAAGGGCGGCTTTACTCTATGCAAACAAGCAACCTCTGATTAACTTTCCGCAATTTCAGTATCTTCCCTGTGGACCAGTACTTTTCAGAACATTCCAGCCTATTAGGTAACCGCTTCTATAAATAGATAACTCGTGCCAGCCAGCCATTTTGGGTCAGAGTCAGAGAGACCGCTTTCTCCCTCTGCTGCTATATTTAAAGATGATCTTTAAATATAAACAGAGAGAAGAAAAGAAATTACTGGTAATCATTTACTGGCAGATTCAAGGAAATATAATTACCATTTGACAGATACCCCCCCTTTTCTTTCATAAATAGGTACATAATACAGAATCATTACTGAAAAATCTAGGTTACAGTTGTGTGCTGTACCTTAGGAGCTTTCTGCTAACTATTTCTGTAGTTTTCAACAATGTCGTTTGTTAAATAATATTAGAGTTACTGTTGCTACTGCTACATTGTTGTTATTTCAAAATGAGAAATAAGTACATTTTTAATTACATACAGGGATGAAATAAAATAATTTGTGTAAGGTTATGGACATAAGCCACATCCTTATTTTTCTTAATTTAAATTTGAATTGAATGTGTGACGTAAATTCAGGCTGGTACAGAATTTTTTTTTTTTTTTTTTTTTAAATCGGTATGATTTTTTAAAGCATTTCAGGATTTTACATTTATCTTTTTGTTCAAAGGTAGGTTAAAATCTCAGACCCATAAAAAAACTAACATGAAGTTGGGTTTACCGAAGTAGCGTTGATGTGACTGGCTGAGTTAGAAAAACATATTCCAGTTGCAGAACAGACAAAAGATAGTACATTGTAGGTTATTTTGCAGTTAAAGGCTATGCATGAGTGAAAGTAATTTATATTTATGGGAAGGGGGGGAGAAGGCATAATCTTTAGGAGCCTAATTGTTACAGTGTATGGTTTTATTTTGGTTATATTTGGCTGCTGGTTTAGAATGGTAACAGAAATCTAATTAGTTTCTCTATCCTGCTAAGTCATTATTCATACTCATAATATATAATATACTCAAATAAAGCAATATAAGAAAAATGCTTATTATTATTTTTCTCTTATATTGCTATATTACTGCATATGTATATATGTAGTAAGTCTGAAGAAGATAGCTAAATCTGCTCGAAAAATTTTCTTTGAGATTCCAGATTAAAAAGACTTCTTAAATGGGAATATCTTTTTCAAACTTGTGGCTACTCAAAGGACAGGATAACTAATAATTAATTAATTAAGGTTACTAATTGTTTTGAAATTACATTCATTGATTTTTAAGGTGTAATATTTGTAGAAAAACTAACATCAACCATAAAAATATCTAGTGGTATCTCACCTCATGTGTGACTGCATAATGAAAACTTAGCTAATGGATGATGTAAACAGATGCAATTTTGGCTATTTCTTATTCTTATACATGTGGATGTAAATAAAACTAAACTTTTGTACAATTTTTTTTTTTTTTTTTTGAATAATCAGTGACATGACTGTTGTGTTGGCTGTCTGAGATCCATGGGGTTAATTTTTATTTTCACTTTCTAGTATTTAAAATTTTGATTTCATTAAGCATTTATTTTATATTGTCATTGCCAAGAAGTGTGTCAGTATCTTTTCCTGGTATATAATCAGGTATATTCCTGGTTAATAGTCCTGGTATCTCGTAGCATTCATAGTGAATGTCTGAACCCATTGATCATTTGGTTGTCATTAGAGCAAACTTCTTCATCTAAATCCATTTTGGAAACTGATGAAACTAGATTAATTTTAAGAAAAATACGACATTAGTTACAAGTAAACAGTGCCAATGTAAAATTATAGGGAATTAAATTTAGAAGTTTGCTTTCATATTTTTTATCTTACATGATTCAAAAAATTATAGTAAAAGTTATATATATGAGGGAGTCGGATTCGGTCATTTTCTCTACCGACTTCACGGCCCTAGTTAAAATTATATAAAACAGCCGAATACAGTTACATAGAGGATTCAAATACAGTTATTTAATAACAATATCAATTACAGTTATACAGGGACAAACCAAAATATCGCTAAGTTTAGCAGCTTTGGGCGATTCCTCGTCAATTTAGCGAGACAGCCATTTAACCTCAATGTTAAATAGACTTGCCCCTGCAGCTGGTGTCTTTTTACTGGCACAGCTTCACCCTTTTCAGGCTTTTTATTTTGTTATACAAAAGATACTGCAATTTCACTAAAATTATTTACAAATACACAAATTTGTAATACTATATTAACATTTTTCTATTCACATTAACAACATTATCCGTTTAACTTAAGTCTATGGAAACTAGATCTAATTAATAGGCATACCTCTAATTCTTCTTCTATTTCACTTTCTATTTCTTCATCTTCTAAAGCTTTCTCAAAAGCTTTCTGTGGGAAATTATATATGTCCCCATACTGAAAAAGTATAACACCTCTTATAAATCACTGTTTTGGAAATAACGCTGCCATATATAAATGATCGGCACAAAAATATAAAATGCATCGTGTATCTTGGAAAATATTAAATATATTATAATGAAAAATTTATTAAAATTTTATACTTAGTTTGTATTAAAATATACCTCCAGATATGAATAAACCTGAGATTCTTACCAAACCGCTTTTCAACCGGTCAACCAGTTCCTTCTCAATAACATTTTCCAATCTTGCAGCAACTAAGGCTTTTTCTTCTCGTCGTCTTTCTCGCCGTTCGATCTTTCTCTGTGTTGGTACTAATTCTTTCCTACGGCAAAATGCAGTATAATAATTAGAAGACTTTTTGTCCTTTTTATCAGAATTTTTTTCTCATTCAAGCAGATAAAAAAAAATTTCTATTCAAAATTTTAGATTCATTTATTTTTGCAATTAAAATATTGCTGCTGACTTGCTGCTTAGGATGCCTAAACGACTTCTTTCTGAACTGGTTAAAAAGAAAAAGAAAAAAGGGGGGAAAGAAAAAAGCAAGTATTTATTACCTTTAAAAATGTTTAAAATTTTTTCAAATTTGTTTTATATTACATCCTGAATATGGCAACAGTAAAATTTTATTACATTAAAAATCTGACATTAAAAAATGCAATATTTGGGTGAATAAGAATTTTTAAGAGATTACTTTTTGAGCAATGATAAACTTTTGAATAGTCTATAAACTGTACACAGATGCAATTTTTTTAAATATCAAATTTTAAAAAAAGAAAGTTTATTAATATTATAAAACCCAGGAACTCACTACTAACATTTATGAACTAATCTGTCCATATAAGAACTATGAAAAGAATAAATTTTCATCATATTAGCATTCCTTAATAATACCACGTATAATAATAATTCTAATATTATACAAAAATATTTATTGCATGCAACATAAAGTGCTTTTACAATCATTTCCTCTAAATTTACATAAAAAGATGAATAAAATTATGTAATATGAAAAAAAATGTGATATTTATGTATTAAAACATCACCACCTTAAAAGAAGTCGCCAAGTTTTCAATGGGTGCCAAACTCCGGCACCCTCTTTAACAAGCAACATCACACCTTTTTGTGTGTGTTTCCTTTTTTAACTGTTTTCCAAGTTTCAATGGGTTTTATAAACAAACCACAATATTTGTGCATTAATTTTAAAATATGCCTTTGTGAGATTTGCTTGTAATGGATAAAACTGCAACAAAATTTCTGCAGAAATAAAGTCGTCTGCACCAAAAGCATAAAAGGGAGCAACTGCTTTGATTAAAATCATCGCCAACAAATTTCTGTGAGAACAAAAGAAATAAAAACCCATTTCAATAATTGACAGTTTATTGGTTGATTCTCAGAGTAAATACCTATCTAAAAGGCAAAATTTGTTTGTAATGCAGTACAAAGTCTGTAATCCGGACTCGTCGAGACTTCGGCGATTCCAAATTAGGGGTTTTTTCGGATTATACATCATCAATTTAAATCTGGTAAGATAGCATGCAGAAATGATACAATTAAAAATATGAGACTGTAATTTATGAAATAAAGAGCAATTATGATCTAAAGGGTATCAAAATTTATAAAAAAAAAAAGCTTAATATTTATTTGTTTACTTTAGTAAACATTTCTATCAGTGTAAGTTGTTTAAGTTGCTTCATTTTTTGTGCTAATACTTTCTCTTTAATTCTATAAACAGACATAATTTCTTGTTCAGTTACAAAGTTCCACTGTTCAAGTCCTGTAATTGCTGTGTCGAGAATACCAAATACAGTCAAAAGTCGTTAATTCGGACACCCATAATCCAGACCTCAAAGCTAAAAACTTTCTGCGCATGCGCCGCATTGACACACGCGCATAGGCGTTTACGCGTGCGCGTAAAACCTTTGCATTTTACGCGCACGCGCATATGCATGTGTGCAAGTGCAGAATACGTTTTCGCGTGCGCGTTTAATGTATAACGGACGGTGCAAGCTAAAATTATATAATTATCTATTTCAGTTAATGTTGATGATTGTGTTGCTCCTTAATCTTCGAATTGGATGCAGCTTATTATTTTTTGAAGACTGTAAGAGCAATTTTATAAAAGTAAACTTGAACTTTCGATTATGTCAATTTCCGATTCTGGAGTCCCAAAGGATCTACAAAACGAAAGTATGTCTCGATGTCCGTCTCAAACAAAAAGTGGAATTGCTGCAAAAAAATGGATTAAAGACATGAAGAAGGTGACAGAGAGGTTAGTGAAAACGAAAAAATTCGATTGACAAGTTAGTCGGTATTCTCGGCACAGCAATTAAGGGACTTGTAACTGAACAAGAAATTATGTCTGTTTATAGAATTAAAAAGAAAGTATTATCACATAAAACGAAAACAACTTACATTGAAAGAAATGTTTAATAAAGTAAACAAATAAATATTAAGCTTCTTTTTTTGTAAATTTTGATACCCTTTAGATCATAATTGTTCTTTATTTCATAAATTACGGTTTCATATTTTAATTTTAGAATTTGTGCATGCCATCTACGAGATTTAAACTGATGATCTATAATCCGGAAAAATCGATAATCCGGAATCGCCGAAGTCCCGACGAGTCCGGATTAACGACTTTTGACTGTAACATGTCAATCGAAATTTTTTTTAACGTTCAATAACGTTCTCTATTACTTTCTTGACTATCGGAAGTGTGCATGGGTAAACGCTTTACTGGCTTTATGCGCAAGCGTAGCAGACTCGTGCATCAAACGCGCATGCATAAGTTTGTGGCTTTGAGGTCCGGATTATAGATCATTCCAGATAATGGATGTCCGGATTAGAGACTTTGTACTGTAATATCTAAGTACATAATAAACAATTTTTCACAGTTTTTGAGTCATCATCCTTTTTTTCGCCTTATGAAACAAAATCGCCAAACAGCACCAAAGTATTTGTGCTGATATATGTTAAGAATATACAATTATTTATCACCCTTCCTTAGTGAAAACCCTAACTGAATTTACAAAACATTAAGGCAAACAGTAACCATTGAGCAGTGCACTGAAAATTACATAAAACATCAACAGATTAACGAAATTAAAAATGCAAGAAATGTCCATTATGAAACAGTAAAAATTACATAAAACAAACATTCATACTTATACATCCAAAATTTCATAGAACAGCAGTAAATTAACTAAATTAAAAACACAAATAGGCATCGATAATAAACCACTTTCTATTCTCTTGAACTTCTGTCTGTGTACACAACGATCTGTTTTAACTTAGAAAAAAACATCAGAGAATTGAAAAATTCTCAGCATCGAAATTTCATAAACAACAAATTAACTAAATTAAAAAATGCAATAAGTATTCATAAAAACAATTTCTATTATCTTGGTGTTCTGCACATGTGCACAGAAATCAATTTAAATTTTTTTTTTTTTTTTTTTTTTTTAATCGAAGAATTGGAGAATTCTCAACTCTTCAGAACAAACTGGTACTGCCCTCCATGTACAAGTACATTTTTTTAAACTTTAAAAACTGTTAGAGAATTACACAAATTAATTTCATGGAATAACTACTCCTACACTCTCTACTACTAGGCAAATGCCATAATCCTGAAAATATGTTCTTTCTGTTTCTGTTAGCAGGCATCTCCCCAATGGCATTGCAATTCATTACAAAACAAAAACTTCACATGCTAATCACATGTTGTGTATAGTTTCTGTTTGTTGTGACCCTCCTATTTAAAAAAAAAAAAAAAAAAAAAAAAAAAAAAAAAGAATCACTACCAAATTACAGCACCAAAATAGCTTAAGCATGATTATACTAACATAATGTGCATGCAACCATTGGTGGTTTGCCAGATAAATATATTTTTGAAAAATTCTAAGTTGCCTACTTTAATGATACAGCACTTTCCACTCCTTAAAGTTAGGTGGATAAAGCAATAGTGCCTGTAATTCTAATAATGAAAAAAGAATACATTTATTTCAGTTTGTTTATTTATGTCACCATATTTCCACAAAAGTATGTGCCTAAAATGAATCCTTGGCAATTAAAAAAAATAGAAGGCATGCTTTTAGACCAGCATTTGTTAAGCTATGGGCCTTAACCCTAAATGGAGTCAAAAAATTTAACTTAGATATGTGAATTTAAAAACAGCTAAATTAATTAGAATTTTGATGAAATTACATTAATTGTCATTACTAAGATATAAAGCCCAAAATGAATTTGAAGAGTTATTGAGTGACTCAAAATTAAAGTTCGAGTTTCCACACAAGTCCTCGACTGAATTCTGGATCCCAGCTAGAAATGAATTTCCAACAATTTCTGAAATGGTATTAAATGTTCTACCATTCACCACCACAAACTTATGTTAAGCGATATTTTAGCTTTAACAGTTATTAACTACAAACATCATTCAACACTGAAAAATGAAGATGTTTTATGTCCAGCAGTGTCAAGTATTGCATCAAGATTTAATTTGTTATGCAGCAAAAAATAAGCACATCCATCTCATTAAAACATGATTTTCTTTCATTAATTTTGTTTATTTGAAACAAATCTTAAAATTACTTCTTTTTATATGCATGTTGTATACCAATGAAATAAATTATTTATTAGAAAATTTATTATTAATTATTTATTCATTTTTATACCTTCATTCTGTATTCAATATCTGGGGTCAAGAAAAAATATCAGAGATAAAAAAGATTTCTGAAGAGAAAAGAAGTGCTGCTTTAGGCAGACAGCCCTTGTATGCTTTGCCTTAATCCATAACAAATTAAATTAATATAATGAAAAATAAATCTACAAAAATCAATTTTCACTGATGACTGACTGCTAAATGTACCAATCGAATAAATTATGTTAGTGAAACCTACAATTTCTCTAACATATTTTAGTGACAATTCCACATTTAGGAAGCAAATTTGTCTAAAAGATTACTGTCTTTTTTTCTGGAGTGGGTAGTGTGTATGTGCAGACCACAGTAAAAAGTTTATAGTAGAATATGGCAATTCCAAAAAAGGAATAAAAGTTCTAACTGAATTTTCTGTGAACATACTACATCAATTAGGTGACAAACCAAACATTTTTTAGGTCATTTTAGATCATATCCTCTTCGATAAAATGACATTCATTCTGAACAGTTGTGTAAATCAGCACAACTGACAAATATGAGGATAAAAATAACAATCTATCATCAAGCTTATATCAATCTGTTCTTTTTTAGGAGATCAAAGTATTTCCGTTATCAACTATTTCTAACATTTTGACTAGTCATCATATTCTATGTTTACTTGAGGGAAAAGGGGAGCTACCTTTTTTACTATTTCACTTCTTGAAAATCAAGAGGAAGATATTATGCACTGTATGGCATTTCTGTGGTAAAGGTTTAAATGAACAAAGCACAATAAAAAGCATGTATTAGCAGACATACTAATGTAACCACATTCTGCATTAGAAAGTTATCAATTTTAATAATATTCTTTTTTATTTACAAAATATACTTTCCTAGTTATATACACATTTTATACTGTTACCATAAATTGGAAATTTCTAAATCTATTCTGATAAAGCCAGACAGAATGTGACAGGCAGAAATATATAAAACTACAACAAAAACATACAGGGGAAAAATATAAAGAAAGCAAAAATAATCATGGTGGTTTTAAAACCACAAAAACATATAAAGTTGTGAAGAGAAATATACTTACTGTCTTCCAATTCTAAGCTTTCTCATCCGTATCAGATACTGAGTTATTTTAGTAAACCTTTGTTTACATTTATGACGGATAAAATGTGGCCAGTACATTAAGTTTACATCTATCTGTTCTAAAGCTTTTTCATAATTTTTTGATAGTTTCACTTTTTCCCATAATCTTGCTGGAAAAGCAGCTCTTTCAGGGGTTTTCATGAACAAATAACATAAACCTAGCAGAAAAGAAAATATTGGTTTACTTCAAGAGGTAAACTAAAACAGAATCAATAAATCTGAAAACCAGACATTTTGAGTATTCTTGAATAAAATATCCTCCCCTCCCCATATTTCCCATTATTCAAAAGTAAAAACACACAATATTCTATTTATATGCAAAAAAATGGCGGGCTGAGAAATCATTGTTAATCACTACAATAAAAAATGTTATCCAAATAAAAAAATTAACAAAAATGAAAATCATAAAAATTTTTAATAAATTATAGCAATATCTTTTAGTCCATCACAACTGAACTTCTGCCATTCTCTGTTCTTGTGTGCAATTCTGTCTTATAATAGAAAGGGCACAGAGAAAAAGAATGTATGTGGTACGAATGCACTCAGCTGATTTCACAGTGGCAAAAGGGGAAAACTCTTCTCTCTTGTCCTCCCGCAATGCGAAAGAGTGGCTTTTTTTTTTTTTTTTTTTTTCTCCTTCTATCAGTATGCAGTATGCTTACTACATCAGGTGGAAATCTTTCTTGACCATTAAATTTGGCTCCATTTATTATTATGTTTCAAGCATTATTATTAATGTTTAACAATGGTTTTACCCAAAATATTGTGTCCAGTGAAGTTTCTGATTAATTTCATGAGTTGATTTATTTTGTTAACATTACTTCTGTAAAAAGTTTGAGTTAAGATGTAAAATAAAACAATATAATTATTTGATTGCTAGTAACAAATGGATTGAAAGATAACTGATGATACACATAGTAAAAAATATCCACAAAGGGCAGAGATTCGATTCTAAGCATGAGTTGTGACTTTGTTTAAATTCAATATAAAATTAAAAGAATTTTTTAAAACCTTTTCAAGACTTTTGTTATAATATTTTAGATGGAGTGATAACTCATCAGTAAGTCTCATAGGATCAGAAGGACTGATTTAATTTTTACACAATTAAGATCCTACAGAATTTTATAAATTTATCAAAGGCACCTCATGCTTTTATTATTTATTTGTGATATAAAAATTGTAGACGAAATTTCTACAGAAAATTATTTAATGCTTGTTTCACTAAAAATTATATAATAAATAATCTTTCTAGTTTCAATTATTAAGGATTTTACGAGTTTGAAATAAAAGTTTATAAAAACCTTTTTTTTACTCTTTTTCATTTTTTTAGTCTCAATCAAATCATTCAATAGAAAAATAACTTTTCAACAATAAATAATGTGTTTCACTTCTAAAAATTCCTTTCTGTCAAACAGTCGAAGAAAGCCAGGGATTTTGCCCAAAACTCAAAAACTATGTTAAAATCTCACATAAGGATTTTTTTTTTTTTTTTTTTCCCCTGCTTTATTCGATGGTGCAGACTGTAAAACTCTAAGTCTTGAATTGTTCTATAAATGACTGTATGTGCAAAAAATTGATTCAATATTAAATTTTACAATCAAAAATTCAAAATAAATTTTGATTCAATACAAAGTCTACAGAAAATAAGTCAATTCTGAAAAAAATCAATCCACTACACTGTGTAAGACACCAGTCTTAAAAAATTCTACAATCAAAAATTCAAAATAATTTTTGATTCAATACAAAGTTTACAGAAAATAAGTCTTCTGAAAAAATCACTGCACTACACTGTGTAAGATGCCAGTCTTAAAAAATTCTAGAAAGTCACCAATGATTTTTTTTCATTCTTTTTTTAAAGATGGTGAAAAGTTTGTTTTATAACCTTCAAAAATTTCAAATCTTTAGAACAGATACATAAATGTTTGGAGATGCTATAATATTAAAGTCCCATTAAAGAATATACAATTATATACCACAATAAAATTATGAAATGGAAAAACTTTAAAATGTTAATTTCATTTTAAATAATTTTAAATGGTGATCAATCCTGTTGTTCTTGAAATTAATAAAATGAACTCTAAATGCAAAATCTGTCTATATGCATAGAGGGAGATATGGCATTTTTAAAATGGCACAAAACTTCCATAAAAAAATTAATTTCTTTGCAGCAAAGGCAGTGATGGAAGCAGGAAAAATTCTGTCATGTAATGGCATTATGTCCTTGAAACGGCAACCAGCGAAAACATTGAAGCAAATACAGTGGCTCCCAAAAGTGTTTGTACACTTATGATTTTCATTGAAATAGGGCTCTATCCATTAATTAAAAGTAAACTTTCTGAATGAGATTTTAATAATAAGTTTTATAATCTATTCGTAACAAAATCACATGAAATAGTTTTAAAATATAGTGAAACTTTATTTTTAAGAAATTAATAATCAAAAAATGAAAAACTTTTTATCTCACAAAAGTCTTCGTACACTGAAATATTTTTGGATAAAATCAAATTAGAATTATTGTTTGCCGCTTTTTTTAATTTTTGCATTGTGGTGGCATTTCATTTGCTTTAATTTTTTATTGTTTACTTCATAATACTTATTCCATTTATTATTGAAAAATGGGTCGCAGTCGTAAAGAAATTACAAACAGCATTCAAAAATTGATAATTTTTCACCATAGTAGTGGTAAATCAATTCAAAATATTGCTAAATTAATTAATTTATCCCATTCTACAGTGCAGTATGTGATAAAACATTTTGAAGAAGAAAATCGGATTGAAAACAAGGTAAGAAAAATTTGACCAAGAAAGTTAACTAAACATGATGAGAGATTTATTTTTATAAAATTTGTGAAAAACCCACATTTGAGTACTGTAAAAGTTTCTGCAGAATTTAAATGCAAAGTATTCTACTTCAATTTCACCTGAAACTGTTCGACGAGTTCTCAGAAAAGCTGGATTTGCATGGGCGTTCTGCCCATAAAAATTTTTTTGTTAGTGAGAAAAAGAGAAAGCTTAGGCTTTCATTCGCAAAATCAATGATAAATACACCCAAAACGTACTGAAATAATGTCCTATTTGCTTTCCGATAGTCAAATAACTGTATGGAGAAGAAAAAATGAGGAACTTCATTCTAAGAAATTAGTTGGAACAGTTAAGCATGGCAGTGGAGGTGTTCTCGTGTGGGAGTGCATGGCAGCATCGGGACTAGGTAATTTGGTATTTATTGATCGCATAATGAATCATTCCCTTTATTTAAATATTTTAAGAGACAATTTATAATTATCAGCCCAAAATGGTGGTATTGGAAACAACTTTATTTTTAATCATGCTAACGATCCTAAGCATACGGCTCTCTACGTTTGCCTGTGGTGTCTCCATAATTGTCCACAGGTTTTAAAAACACCACCTCAGTCACCAGATTTAAACCCCATAGAACACATTTGGAAAGAACTGGAGGTTAAAGTACGAAAACATGACATCAAAATGAAAAGCGAACTCAAAACAGTCATGAAGAATGAATGAACATTGATACAGAAATTACAAAAAAACTAGTAAAATCTATTCCCAGACATTTAAAAGCTGCTGTGGATGCTAAAGGATATCCTACTAAATATTAATTTAACGACAAATGAAAATATTTACTAATATGTCAAGATTTTTTTTTTTGAAGTGTAAAAAGACTTTTGTGAGATAAAATGTTTGTCAGTTTTTGATTATTAATTTCTTAAAAATAAAGTTTCGCTAGATTTTAAAAATATTTTATGTAATTTTGTTACAAATAGATTATAGATCTTATTATTAAAATCTCACTCAGAAAGTTTACTTTTAATTAATGGATAGAGCCCTATTTCCATGAAAATCATAAGCCTACAAACACTTTTGGGAGCCACTGTACATCATGAATAAAAACGTCACGGAGAAAAAATCACGAGGTGAAAACTTTGTCATACAAAACCCCGTGGGAGGAAAGAAAGCAAGGAGAAAACATCGTCATCAAAAATATCATGGTAAAAAATAAAGCACATACAAATTACCGCATGAAGATAATGTTCCATACATGTGTTTTCAAGCTTTAGAAATTTGCATATTCTCATAATAATTTGTGAGCACAAGAGTGAATGAGAAATGTCTTTACTTTTATACTTGATATTTTTGAATTATACATTTTTACTGAAAAAATAAGAAGGAAATTTAAGAATTCAAAGACTGAACAGAAAATAATTCTAGGTAAAGCAGTTAATAGAATTTAAACTTTTATAGTTAACTAATAAAGGCTATTTATTAATTAATATTTTTTATAAAGATTTATTGGCAATTTTTCATAAACAAACATAGTCTAACAATGGTTAGTAAAAAAAGATGAGTAACAGCATATGCAACTCTATTAAAATTGTTTAATTAATTGCCATATTATAAAATTATGTTAACTGCTACAAGTAGCATCAATTTTTACTCATTTTCAGTTTTTGAATACTTAAAAGTTTCCTTCTGAATTTTTCAGCAAAACTTTATTAATTAGTTCAAAAATATAAAAGTAAAAATCTTCCTCATTCTTTTTTGACCTCACAAATAATTATGTCAATATGCATTTGCAAATTTTAAAGCCTGAAAAACATATGTCTGCGATGATTTGTTAGCTTTTTATTTTTTACCATATTTTTGACAACAATGTTTTTAAATTGCACAACTTTTTAATCAACTTTTTTTCGACAATGATGTTTTCTCCTATCATGTTTTGTATGACGGCGTTTTGGCTTTGCATTGTTTTCCTCACAATTTTTTCACCTGTAACCTTTTGAAACTATGTAGAGTATTCGGAAACTAAGTACCGTTTCATTCTAACGCCGTCGCAGCGCTGTGGTAGGCGTCCCACGCATGCGCACTAGTCTTTCTTGTTCACTGACTTTCAATTGTCGCCATTTTGGTTGCTCTATGTTGTGTTTTCAGTTTGCTGTGCACATTCAAAATGTTTAAGACTATTAGTTCTCCCGCTGACTGTGAGATTCGTGCCGTGATTAAATTTGTGAACGCGAGGAATGTTAAACCGGCCGAAATTTATCATCAAGTGACAGAAGTTTACGGTGAATACGCGATAAGTGATGGAATGGTGGAATGAGAAAGTGGGTAAGAATGTTTAACGCAGGTCGAACAAATGTCCC